TTACAAAAAATTGTCACCGTTTGCATGAGGACAGTCTTACAGTAGACCGGGGCTGGAAGCGAGGTCCCTTGCTGGCTTGTGACGCTTTGTAAGTCTCATTTTTGTTGTGCTGCTGTTTAGATGCTCTATCTGCAATTTTTGCTGCCAAGAAAGTTGGTCAATAACTCTGAATACTGCATTCATTGTTCGGTCACGTGGAACAACCCCGACCTTGTGCCCTAGCTTTGGTTCGACTGTACATATTGTGCAGGTGTCCCGCATGGTCCGCTTGATAACTATGTCGCTACATTCAGAAGCTACCTGGAAAGCTCCTTTCCACAACTTCCTGGCTATTATTACACAGGGTCCCTTTTTTATGTGAAGCTGGGTGTGCACTTGATAAAAATACAGTGTAGACCGCTTATAACGTAAGTCACGGGAGTTGTAAAAATCTGCGCTATAAGCGGTACCGCGTTATATTCAAAGCATGCTTTTTGCGGTCCTTTGCCTATGTCAAGAGGGGAACCCACCTTTCAAAAGCAATTTACTAGACTTTTCACTCGCAGACACATTCAACACAATCACAACACCGCACGGAAACAAAGTTCTCAAGTCCGGCATCAGCAGAAGAACGCCGTTATTTTCATCTGGCGATGCTTGCGAACAGCGCTGCGAACAATTTCGTCCTCCACAAAGCTTAAGCACTGAAGCGATTTCTCGCTCAAACTGTTTTTTGCGCAGTACGTTTTCACTTTAGCGAGGTATTCCAATGCGTCTTTGCACAGGAAATCTGGTTCTGGCGTCGGGTCGACATCGTCTTCGCCGTCCGACTCGTCGTCCGTTGCAACCTCCGCACTACCGCGCACCGCTGCGACGATCGTGTCATCTGTGCTCGCTTTCTCGCAGACAGAAGGCTCCGACTCCCCGGCATCGACAAATTCTTAGAAAGTGTCGGTGGCGGTTACAAAGTTGCTGTCAACGAGGCAGGACCACACGTCATCAGTGTTGAGGGTCTCATCGGCGAGCGACGTGTCGCTCTGCTCATCGTCTTCCAGAGCCTCTGCATTGCGCACGAAGCCTGCCCTCTTGAAACACTTGCTTACGGTATCGGCCTTTACCTGCCATCATGAAGCGAACACCATGTCAATTGCGCCTCTTAAGTTAACTTTAAGAGGCTGCTGCTGCTGCTGCATGCTCAGCCAAACTCTCTCGCAAATGCGCTTTTTTGTACAGCGCCTTTACGGTTGTGATGACACCCTGGTCGAGAGGTTGACTTTTTGCTGTAGTGTTGGCAGGCAAAAACTTTAGGTTGACTGCGGTCGACTTCGGTTTGACGTTGTGGGCCGTGCAGTTGTCGAGGATAAGCACGACCCACTGCTTCTCTGCCACCATATCATCATCAAACTTGCAAAGCCAGCTGGTGAACAAATCCTGCATCATCCACGCCTTTTTATTGGCTTTGTAGGTCACTGGCAGGCACTCTCACTTTTTAAAGCAACGTGGCCTTGCCGGTTTACCTGTGACAAAGAGGGGGCGCTTGTCGCTCCCGTCCAAATTGGCGCAAAACAATACAGTTATGCACTCCTTTGAGACCTTGCGGCCAGAGCAGGCTTCGCCTTTCAGCGCAAGCGTGCGGTTGGGCAAAAGGTTATAAAATAAACCAGCTTCATCGGCATTATAAATGTCTCTGTCAGTATAGGTCGTCTCTGTCAGTATAGGTCGACAGCATACTCTCCAAGTTCAAGCGAAGCCAGACTTCGATAGACTCGTCGTCGACAGCGCTGCTTTCTCTGCACACCACTTTGCAGCTGATGCCATGGCGATCTTTGAAACGCTGAATCCACCCGTTGAGTGGATTGAAGTCGTCGTGGCCTGAAAGAGCTTCGAGAGACTTGGCCTTTTGTTGGAGCATGGGGCCACTTACTGGAATGCTCTGAGCCCTAACTTCGCGGAACCACCTGAACAGCGCTGCGTCCACGTCTTCATATTTTGACGTACGTATTCTCTTCCGTGACAGGGAAAACGAATCTTGCTGCAGTTGCTGCCGCAGTTTGTCCTTGTTTTTGTAGATGGTCGACACGGTCGTGTCAGAAACCCCGTATTTCGCCGCCACCGACGCCTTCTTCAGGCCACACTCAATGTCCCTTATGACGCATTCCATAATCTCCAGCGATAAGGCACGACGTTTTTTCACACCGCTTGGAGACGCCGCCGACGCCATGGCGACAGGAGCTACGCAACACACGTGCTCTGGGCTCTCAGACGGCAACGACACGGCGAAGCGCACACAGCAAATCTAAAGAGGCAAAAAAAGGAGGTTGAGAAAAAAAAAAGCATGCTACCGCTTCTCTTCCCCACTCCGTGCAGCGCGCACCTGGATTGGACGCTGCCACGGTGACGAAAACACGATCCCTCCTTCCAAGGTCTCCCCGACTCTCTCCCTACTGTACCCTCTCTTCTCCGCAATGTTTGACATTTCGCGGTGGTCTCTACGTGCGCCCTCCCGCTCACACTCCCAACGCACCGGCGGGCCGGGAACGCCGCCGGCAAACCGTGCTGACCGTGCTCTGTTTGCCGATTTTATGGTCGCGCGCCTAAAAACTCCGCGCTATAACCGGTATTCTCCTTCGCGCGCCTACGCAATAAACAGTCGGCCTATACATTGAGTTCTATGGGCGACATATCGGTGGTCAAAAAAACCCACGTTATAACCGGTCCCGCGCAAATAAGCGGTTACGTTATAAGTGGTCTGCACTATAGCTGTGTGGTTTAGAGTGAATCGGAGCACCATCTTTTTGTTTTGTTTTTTCCCGAAAAGTTTCTTGCTGCTTCCAGTGGTTCATGTTCCTTGTACTTTTTTGGTCATTTGATTTGCATAATTCGGTCGTTTCGTTTAAAGCATGTTTTTTAAAGCAGCACACAACAATGCATGATGGCGAAAGAAAGCACCTGCCATGATGATGTTTGGTCGTGAACTTTTGACCACATTGACGTTACTGAATCCCTCAGACTCCCAGCGCATAGAGAAGGAAGAAAAAGACACACGGCCTATTCGCAAAAATCTAATCGTCTGTATGAAAAACTTTGCAGGGGACCCGGCATAAATGAAAGGAACCATCATCAAACAAGTGGGTCGTCGGTTTTGGTTGGTCAACGCAAACAGAGGTGTTGTGCGACAACACAAAAATCACACTCAAGACTACGAAACATGTAGCGACTCATGACAACACTTCTACAACACAGTCACTGGGAAATCTTTGCCAGTCTTCACTGCTTCTGTTTTTCCTCTCATACAACGAAGCTGATAGTCAGCAAGAAGCGCCGACTGTAAGCATTTCAGAGTGTGGTGCTACACTAGCGCCACTCCCATCCGTCGGTGCTCTATAAGAACCACCGCAGCTGCCCTGAGACTTGGCCGTCACCCATACCAATAATATCAGTTGTGGCTCAGAGTGGGGAGAGACGTGTTCGTGAGTTTCGGGTTCAGTGCTGTGCGAGAGTTTCGGTTTAGGCCACACGAGATCCCACTGCTGGAGGGCAGGATCTGAGGGCATGCTACCCTCTACCCGGAAACAGATTCTGTATAAGGGTACCGTTTATACTCGCATAATGATCGCTCTTTTTTTTTAAAAAAAAAATTGACTCCAACTTCGGGATGCAGTCATTACGCGCGGTAAATTTTCCGTGAAAAAAATATTCCAAGCACTGAAAGCGCAAAAATGTCGCTAATCAGAATTCTTACGATAACTATCATGAACATAACCATAAATAAAAGTAAATTAAAGCTTACCTATGTAATAAAATGCATGCATTACACAGGAGCTACATGCATGGCACACTGCCCTTTTATTTTTTTTTTACCTCTTTGACCCCTTTACGTTCACTCATACTCCGGAGCGTCACTGAGGTCAGTGCCGTCGCCGCACGATTCTTTGTCGGAACCGGCAGTGTCTTCACTGTCCCACAGACCGTCATCTTCCGTTTCGTCGAGCGCGTTGAAAATGCCAGCGACAGTTTATTCCGCCGCATGAAACGTGTTGTCCAGCCGGAACTTGTGCGGAAGTCCTTTGTGGCTATTCCCAGCCTCCGGGAAACTGTGCCCGCCTGCGTCCGTATCATATCTAATGACACTGCATGACCGTCCTTGCGCATGTCCTTCACGTATTCGAGGACTGCCTTTTCAGTGTCAGGGAACTTGTCAGATTTGGGTCCACGGAAAACCCATCGCGTGCTGTTAGTAGCCATCAGCATGTCGCGCTGTTTTTTCCAATATCTGATCCGACGCCGAAATGTCTGCCGGCAGCGTGGTTGCTGTGCTCTAGTGCGTAGTCAAGAGCCTTCAGCTCGAACGCGGCAGTAAAGCTCGCATACCGCCCCATGGTGAAACGGCGCTTTAAGGGGAGACGCTACTCGAAAACACTTTTTCGTTAGTTTTCAAGTTAGGGGTTTCCTAAATTTAGCCACAGAGATATTTTTTCTTGTAGATTCCATAACTGTTATCAGATTTTGTGTAGCCTCATTACTTTTAAAGGTATTATACATGCAATAGCAAAACAAAGGGATTTTTACTCTCGCTTTTTCGACATCAAAACTTTTGTGTAGATGTTTGTGTAATAGCTTATTATGCTTGTCATGAACTACTGTGTGCATTTAAGAGGTTAAAATTACGAGAAAAAAAAGCTGTTACTACAAAAAATGAACAGATCTGCCAAACTTCTTTTTTTCAGGGTTCCTTGTATCATTTCTTGGTATGTTTTTATTGATAATGGCTATGCATCATAAATCAGAATAGATAACGGCACTCTACACACCTTGAAGAATGTGTGTGCCAAGTTTCATCGCAATAGGACAATATTAAGGGGATGAAACTATGTGAGTGAAGTGTGACCGTGGCCAAAAATTTCAAAATGAGAAAAACACGTTTGAAAGTTTGAAACCTGTTTACTAATTAGGGCGCACTTGCAAACACTCAAAAGTGTGTCTAATGCACAGGCAGTATGTCCAGGAGCTGGCCACGGTGACTAGAATTCACCCGCACTGTATGTAACTCCTTCGGGGTCCTTCCGAGCGGAGTCCTGTAGGCGAGCTCTCTTGGCCGATGTGCGGCGGTGAGCCCTCGCCTCAGCAGTCTGTTGGGCATTCATCTTCTGAATGCACCTCTTGTCGCTGTAGTCCCCCAGGGTGGTCAAGCTTGCTGGTGGTAGAACACCAAGCTCCTCCAGGACCACCTCGAAGCTTGCATGGCCCCGGTTATACCAGAGCACAGCAATGGCTGTGGCAGTCTCCACAGCACTTCGGGAAGCAAACTTTGTTTTTGGGCACAGCAGCCACACCTTGCTGTTGAGAGACTCAGCAGCGTTCTGAGTTTTCCCTCGAAGGCATCGAGCCAGCAGCTTCTCGTCAGAAAGGCGCTTGTATATGGGCAGCAGTGCCCGGCCCTGTGCCTTTGTCAGAAGTGGTGTATGCTGTGGTGCAGGCTCGCCCATTGCTTCAGCACGCTTGTGCTTGCACCACGATTCTTGGCCTGGTGGGCAGAAGTTGTGGCTACCAGCACCATCAGTGGAGCAAGAGTGAAAGTAGGACGCCCATATGGCAGTGTACATGTCCCGTAGGTTGCCTCTATTGCCCGTGATGGCGATCTGATAATATGTCTGCAGCTTTTCAATGGTGGCAGGCTTGAGCTTCTCACCTCTGGGCAGTGGTGTCGGCAATTTGCGTATGCCAGTGCCTAGGCGCTTTGCAACATGATTAGTGCAGTCCTCCTTGCAGATGGCACCTGCACCGTACACCTTGGCATCACAAACTCCGTTATATGCTTTCGTGTCGCCATCACTAAGAAATGTTGCGAAGCGAAGCGGAGTCTCATACAGCAAAGTGCGCTCCCATATCCGTAGTGCTGCTTCAGCTTCCATGCCATGAGCGGAGCTGTTCGGTGTTCTTCTCACAGACAGGTCTGTGGTAGGTCTGCCAGAATTCCTCTTCAGAGCCCATGTCGTTGTGTAGACTGCAAGCGTGGCAGTAATTCGACAGCACTTCGAAATCTAAGCGCGGGCCGGTGTCCAAGGAGATAGCTGCGCCGACTCCGTTGTGGCTTTTATGGCCCCGTTTCTGCCAAGTTCCATCATACATTACGGCCACGTCACTACTATCAACCACCTGCTTTGTTACGGCTCTTGCCTGGTTCAAATTTTCGGTCACGGCCCTCATAGCAGCATCGTGAACCTTCTTGCTTATTGCCTGGAAGGTTTTGTGGTGCATGGGCTTCGCTAGTCCAACAATCGCACAAAACTGCGAAAGCTGGTCATGTCCGATGCCTATGGCACGCGAGGCTACAACAGCTTTCACATTAGCCGGGAAGCTATCGCGCGAGCTGCCGTTGCCGTAGTGCCCCACCTCCGCGCAGTCGTCAGATGCTGCGGCGGCTTCGCCGGAGGCAACACGCCTCGACGTATGTGTCGAAGAGTGAACACCAGACGCGCACTCACTGTTCTCACACCGCAACTCTAGACAGGACGACAGTCCTTTGCGCCGTTCTGCCACCTCGCGAACAACAAGTTTGTGTTCACGGCAAGACGGGCACTCCGCTCCGCCCACAAGTGCCGTCATCACATCGATGTCGCACAGCACTGCTGATGATATGCCATCATGCGCATGCCTTTGGTTCTCAAAAAACTCCAGTTTTTTTTTGTGAGGCGCTGACAAAGTTTGCGGCAGCGTCGAGGCCGCCGGCGAAGTCACTGTCGCGATAGTTGCCGACGCTGGGGTTAGGCCTAGACCTCTCCGGGCCGTTCACCTTTGCCGCAGTCTGATGGCGCACTTTACGACGTTTTCCCACATACTTGTTTATCGTCCGGTACTTTTTCACCTTGTACACCTGCTTTCTGGCAGGATGCATCGCGTAACTAATTGAATAAATCCTTGCGAAGTTCAGCTTGCGATGCAGAGCGGGGCCGAAGGGACAAGCGGGCACTGCGCTAGCCAATGGCGCGCTCGCTACGGCACCACGTGATGCGCCGCGCGATTCAAACGGCACGCAGGGGCGTTCAAAAAAGGATTTTTTATAGTATTTTTTTCTTTCCGGACGAGACTTTTCGAGCCTGTGTTCGAGAGAGCATGGACAACTCTAACCGCCTCAGTGATTACAAATGGCGCACGGTGCCGCTGCCTCGAGATACCGGGGCCGGCAAAACGTCGATTTTGGCAGATTTCAGTGATTTTCTAGGTCTCCGGGGCTTACTTGAGCGCATTTTTCAGTAACTTCTGACACGAATTACCGATTGAAATTTATTTCTGGTAAACATGAATGTTTAAAGAATCTAATACGACTGAAAACAAAAAAGTGAAAATTTCCGGAAAAAACGCGATTTTTCGATTCGCGTCTCCCCTTAACAGACGATCACAAAGGACACCATAAAAAAAAACTTGGTCTCAGGAAAAAAAAAAAACATTGCTGCGGGATGAACACAGGTCGACCAACAGGTGGTCGCTTCTGTAACAGTGCGGGATGTCAAAACAAACATGGCGGCTGACAGAGCGAAGCACTCCGTGTAGCGGAGCCACCGCATTTTTTTTCCTTCTTTGCGTCAGTTATGGAGGTTGTGAATACGTCACGCGTGTCAAAACATTTTCTTCCATCTAAATAAGGAATGCTTTCATTTAAATCAGTAAATTTACGGCATTAGCATAGTGATGCCCGCTTTCATATTACAGAAACAATGACAGGCGCATTCAGCTAGACTTGGCACATGCCATGTCGATGTGGCAAGTTCAAGGTGCAATCATTACGCGGGGGGGGGGGGGGGAGTCGAATTCAGACGACAAAATTTAAGGGTGCGATCATTATGCGAGTGCAATCATTATGCTAGTAAATACGGTATCTATGCAGGCTAGTCGGTATTTCATTGCAATATTGGGTGTAGCATCGCGTACAAGATTGTAAGAAGAAGAGCTGACAGTAGGGGTGTTCGAATATCGAATATGAGAAGAAGAATGCCTCCACAGTGGCAATATTTTATATATCATGTTATTTGAAAGAGAAATACATAAACACAACACAAACTACTATCTGGTTCAAAACACAATGTCCAGGCTGTTGTCATTTAGTGATTTAGTGATTAGTGAACAGCTGCTTGTTGTGCCTCTTCGAAAGCCGGGAATAAGGCAACATCTTGAAGTACAAGGTCATTTAACCACATCAGCTTTGGTTTGTTGCTCTTGAACACCGTGGACTTAAAGCGTAGATCTAAAAACATGGGCAAGCATGATTCTTTGTCCTCGGCATACAAGGGGAATCGGGTATTAATAGACCGCGTCAGCTCTTAGCAGAATCCAGTTGTGCTGCTAAAGCTGCTAGGCAACTTAGAATGCCAAAATAATTGCGTCGAAAGGGACGTGTATTTGTCCACACTGGTTATGACAGTGGCATCATATAAAGGCTTCAGTGCTTGCACATATTCAGATGCCTCTTTTGATTCTGCTGAGCAGAGGCCATCAATGCTACTACTTGCCGTAGCAAGCTCCACAGACTCAGCCTCCTTCAGGTCCAAGAGGCGGGACAGCATCAGGTATTGGCTGTTCCACCTTGTATCTACATCTTGAACCAGATGAAGGGGCTCTTTGCCCATCTTCCTCTGGTACTCATCCAATCTTTCTTACGCTGAAGAGCTGTGCTTGTAGTGGCCCACAATCTGTCTCCCTTTCTTGCACAGACGGTCAACTGGAGATGTGTGAGAGGTCGCATCCTGAATAGCTAGCTGCAGGGTGTGGGCGAAGCATGAACACTCAGTCCATGGGAGCCTTCTGACCGCGGCATGCATGTTACGTCCATTGTTTGTGACAGGTGTACTTTCCACAGCTGTGTGGTATTTCCTATTCTGTGCAAATCTCAAGTATTTGTGCGATGTTTTCCGTGGAATGGCTAACAGCCATGTGGCGAATATTAAGCGTGAACCGCTTCATTTTGAAACTAGGAGTGAGAAGGGGGCATGTGAAGCTCACGTAACTCTCGTTGGCGCGTGACGTCCACATGTCGCTGGTAAGGGTGTTAGCTGTTGTGCCACCTTCAAAAGCACTGCTTAGTTCAGCTTTTACTTTCTCCTTAGTATCATCGTATAAACGTGGAACAAGGGTACCTGAAAGCGTGGTGCACGATGGCAGCTGATAGTTAGGAACAGCCTCTGCCATAAGTTCCTTGAACCCGCGACCTTCAACAGCATTGTAAGGTTGCAAATCAAGCATTACCATGGCAGCCACCTTTGTGTTAAGTACTTGCGCCCTTTTTTCCGACAACGGCTCAGTACGGCGCACAAAGTCAAGCATCCTTGACTGGTCTTTCTCTGGCACACTTGTTGTGGTCATCCGGTACTCCTTCATAGCGGTTGGATGTTGTTTTATATGGTTGACAAGCAGGCTAGTCGTATTTGTCAGTGTTTGAAATTTTGCACGGCATGTCTTGCATTGCGCCACCGATGACGATGTCTGCACAAAGTACCTCCAGATAACGCTTCTTTCTTTTCGTTCCGGTGTCGCGTGTCGATCGTTTCTCCGTTTCACAGGCGGGTCGTTGTAATCTTCGCAATCTTTCATGGCACCGATTAGTGAAGTGAGTGTATCACAGGTTGTGAAAAACACTTGCATCAACCCTGCACCACATGCATCGCACACGCCGCAGCCGTAGCAGAGAACCACAAGGAGCGCTAACAATGAGCTTCGTCGATTTACCAAGGCTTCGGGCCATCAGCGCGCCTAATGCTGGCTGCATCCGCTGTGGCATCTACTATGCCAGGCTATGCCGTTCTGCTCTTGCCTTAGCTGCGACACAGGCCACAACCCTGACCCAATTTCAACCTAAACAGCAGTTAGGTAGTGAATTATACCTATTTCTGTTGTGATGCAACTTACTGTAAGTGAACTACTCGAGTGCGTGCACATCGTAGACCGGCGCGGTCTTTCTACCGCTGTTCCTCCTAGGGAGTATAACGCATGTTTGCCCGACCTTCGGGAATACACACATCTTCGACGTAGCTCAGAACACCGATGACAAGAACTGGGTCCGCAAACAATGCGATATCCAGAATCATGCGAGAAGCGGACAGAAAAACAAAAAGAGCAAGAGCACGTCAAAAATTTCCATGTCTAACTCAAGATGACTGCACTGGCATGCGCCCCGCGCCGTCGGCTGCCAGCTGCCCGGAAGAAATCATTCGGACCAGAGAGTTTCCTAAAATTAACTCTATTTAGAGTTCTGCCGCATGATAAGCAAAACAGCTGCTACAGCCTTTCCCTCCTTCATTTTAGAATATTGTCAGTCGCTAGCATTACCTGTGGCGGACAGTGCAACAACGCAACATTCTGCATAGCCTCCGAAATAGTCGTGTACAGTTGCTGGTATCGAACAACATTCGACTGACGTGCCCTTATGGGGAACGTGCATTGAGCCGGTGGCGCCGCTGCGCGGGAGGGAACGAAACGAAGTGGCCTGATACGTGCAGCACCGCTCCACGAGCTGAGCCGTGTCACGCTGGTCAAGGACCTTTCCAATGTCGCGCATGAATTGCTGCGTCGTCAACTGCGCTAATAGCTACGAGAAATGCCCTCCTGGAAAAAGTTCTTCCCTTTTCCGGGGCGACAATGCCTCGTAGACCAGCGGGAACGGTGGATTGGCAGCATACGGCATGTGAAGAAAGTGATCCTATGCATGGTTATGGAGTTCGTGTTGTTGCTAGTTCAATTTGAATTTACGCCCCACGCTAGCGAACCGGTGTTTTTACAGTACAGACGGAACCGAGTGGCAGCCGGCAAAGTGGTCTTGGGTCTGCAGTGCACATTTTGTTGGCGGAAAGTCATCGACGGATCCAGCTTCTCCTTCGTACCCTCCTGCTATTTTTCCGCCAACGCACCCCAAAACTTCGGCGATCGCTGAGGACAAGAGGTCGCGCTATGAGAGGTCAGTAGGCTTTTACCGCGTTCAACAAAAGATAAAAATTACGGCATATTCACGGGGTGAATGATGATGAATGGGCGAAGCTCCGGAAGGGATTCATCGGTAAACTGTGAATCTTCCGTGTAATTCGCCCAGTCGATCATCATGTTAAGACGTGAGAAACGCTGTGTGTGTATATACACAAATCAACTTTTATTTGTTCTTAGACGATGGATGGCTTGCGATGTCCCTTCATTATGACGGCTTTATGGTCTGTGCCTTGCGCTCTCTCCGCTGTGCAGCCTTATCCATCCGGCGACTCCGAGCGCGCACCAACAGCGAACGGATTTTATTACAACGCTCCCCCTAGCGTACGTCGCCGCACTAAATCGAACGATTGCCTTCAACCAATGACACGCGCCATATGTGACATCATTCCTATTTTATAAGATCTCGCGTCTTTCATCAACTACAAGTACCGCTTTCTAGTTTATAACATCTTGCATCTTTTCATCATCAGCTACAAGTATCACCATCTAGTAAGCACTACAAGAACTAAACGAGAGGTGGCTACATACAGGAGACGGTACCGCCATCTAGTGAATACTGCAAGAACTAAACTAGAGGTGGCTACATACAGGGGACGGTACTGCCATCTAGTGAACACTGCAAGAACTAAACTAGAGGTGGCTACATACAGGCTACAGGGGACGCACAGCCCATGCCCTAAGGAGCTTCGCCCCTAATAAGTACAAGGTGCGAAGCTTTCAGCCTGTTGCACAGGCAGCTGGAAAGCCACGCGATTTGTGCAACGTCGTGGATATCGCGCGCCGCGAATGCTTCGAGAGCGATAACTTTTCGAGAGCGATAAGCAGGTAAAATGATGAAAAAGCATTCGCACAAACCTCGATGATGACGGCGTATGCTTCCTGGTTCACGTCGGCTTGTGGCACACACCGCCCTTTCATTATACTCTGTCCGACTGTGGTCTCTTCAGTCACGTCGAAAACGTGCCTTCTACGGCATAATTTGCCTCCTTTCTCTTCGTTCGAGCCTCTGAAAAACCCTGCGCTCTTTACTTTCTTGAAGCCGGTGCGCTTTATAATACCAGTAGCCATCGCGTGCACGCACGTCCGCAGAACGCAGGGCGCAGCAGAAGGGGAGACGAGAATGCGTATCACGTCAGTTAACAACTCAGTGGCCACTCGTGGCACTGACGGCGCGCTGGCGCACTGCATTAGCGCGCCACCTGTAGGTGCCGCACGTTTCCTATGGGCTGCAGGTGAAAGATGCTTAGCAGACGACGTTAACGCAGTGAGCAGAGAAAAAGCGTGCAGTGTGCAGTTTCCCTTGATAATTACTGCAGACGGACAAGCAAATAACTCGTATTAGGACGAAATTGGATGCAATATGGTAATAATAAGTTTTAAGATTGTGGAAAATATCTTGCATCGTCTCTTGAACTGTTTTTGTAGTTTCGTGCAAGAAATCGTGAAAACCTAGCAGATGTACACTGCATTGCAGCGCGAGTGCTAGTGGTGCGCACACTTGCATTACTGCTAGTACTTTCTTTTTTTATTTCAAAAGGTTTTTTTGTGCCAACTATTTGTGTTGTGGGTGTGTCCAGTCCAACCATCTACACTCGGACATGTGCTATTTTTGGCATGCCAAAGTGCAGGTCTGGTCAGCAGCGAAAACAAGACAGTGCATCTTTTCACGAGATACCGGCTAAGAGCACCTCACGCAAGCGATGGTTAACGGCCATTTTAAGAGAAGAGTAGGTGCCAAACAGTACCTCGAACTACTCTGTGGTATGTAGTCCGCACTTTCTTCCATCAAGAGTGTCGCGATTTGGTGCGCGTTCGTGAACCTGGGAGGGCCGGGGTACCCTCCAGCAGAGTGACGACCTGCTACGGCTGGTGGACGGTGACTGACCCCCGAGCGGCTGTGCTCGGCGGTGTTTATTTAGTCCGCCGTGCGCAATGTTGCCCACCGAGCCTGGTGGGGCCACTCGGGGGCGCCACATGATTGTCACACCCCTCACCCCCTAGTTTGTTTGTCCACACAAATACAAACACCTGTCAACCCGGCAAGTAGCGGTCTGGCGGTCTCCGGTGCCTCGCACTCCGCCTCAGCACGGGTGTCGCAGGTGTGGCCACATCAGGCGCTGCCTGCGTCGCTGTCGCACTGTCTGCCCGCCTTGCTGGTGTCCTTGGACTCGCAGGCGGCGTCACAGTGGTGCGAGTAGCACCAGCACCTGGTGCTGTGCTGGCATCCGTCACTGCACTTGGCTCCCTTGCCTGCTGGCTTCCTGAAGGGGCGGCGGCTGAGGTCGCCAGACGAGGCCTCACATGGTCAGCATGCCGGTGCCACGTGGTCCCGTCCGACATGCGAACGAGCAGTGACGATGCACTGGCTGGAGAGACCACGTGCCCCCCGGCAGACCAGGGTGGACCAGGCCGGAAGTTCCGGGCGAAGACCGGAGCCCCAGACTCCGACAACGGCCCAGGACGGCAACCTCGGTCAGCCACCAGCTTCTGCTTGAGCTGCTTCAAGAGCGCTGTGGACCGGAGGTCAGGGTGCGAGACGTCCAATGGTGTCTTCACCATCCGGCTCATCAGGAGCTCGCAGGGGGCACGGCCCGTGACGTCGTGGAGTGTGGTCCAGTACTGAAACAGGGCTCGGGCAACCTGCGTCCGGACATCCCCACCCTTGCTCTTCTTGAGCTTGTCTTTGACTGTTTGTACCACCCGCTCGGCAGCACCATTCGACGTGGGGTGGTACAGCGGAACCATCATCCGGCAAATGCCGTTCTTCGTCAGCCAGGCCAGATACTTCTTGCTGACGAAAGCAGGACCGTTGTCGGACACGATGAGGTCTGGCAGCCCCTGGGCTGCGAAGACTTGCCGCAACGCCGCAATGGTGGCCCCTGCCGAGGGAGTGGTGACTGGCAGTACCTCCACCCACTTGGAGAAAGTGTCCACCACCACCAGGAAATAGTGGCCCTTGAAGGGGCCCCCAAAATCCACAGGCAGGCGGGACCACGGCTTCTCCGGGAACGGCCAGGGGGTGATCTTCACGTGGCGCGAGGCTCGCTGGTTCTCCTGGCAGGCCTGGCAGCTCTGCACCATGCGAGCGATGTCCTGGTTCAGGCCAGGCCACCAAACATGGGACCGGGCCACAATCTTGGTCTTCTCCACGCCTGGATGGCCCGCGTGCAGCAACTGCAGGATCCTGGACCGCAGGCTCTGCGGAATCACCACCCTGGAGCCCCACAGCAGGCAGCCCTGCTGCAGGCTCAGCTCGGCGGGCTTATGGCTGTACGTCCGTTCAGCCAACTCCTCCCCTCGGGACACCGCCTTGACCACCTGTGACAGGACCAAGTCCCGGCTCGTTGCCTGCGACACTGCCGATCTGGACAGCACCTCCGGGTAAGCGTGCTCCAGCATGAACACTTCAGCAGGTTCAGGAACTGCAGCAGGCACCTCCGGCAAGGGGCAGTCGGCTCAGAGCATCAGTAGGTGCCAAGTCCTTCCCCGAGCGGTAGACCAACTGGTAACTGTAGGCCGCGAGCTTCAAAGCCCAGCGCACCACTCCAGGCGACGCCTGCACTCGAACTGCCTTGTCGGGCCCCAGCAGTGCCCAGCAGCGGCTTGTGGTCCATGACCGCCTCGAACCTCCGGCCCCACAGGTACTGGTGGAAGCGCTCTGACCCGAAACATGAGGGCCAGCCTTCCTTGTCCAGCTGGCTGTATCGCTGTTCTGCAGCATAGAGCCTGACGGGACACGAACGATATGGGGCGTTCCTGGTCATTCTTCTCCCGGTGGGCCAGGGCGGCTCCCACACCGTACGGTGACGCATCCACCGTCAGGATGACAGGCTTGGCCGGATTGACGTGCACCAGCACTGGAGCCTTGGTGATAAGTTCTTTGCTGCGCTGGAAGGCCAAGTCCTGTTCCTTCCTCCAGGCCCACTGCTGTCCATCTCGAAGCAGAAGATGGAGTGGCTGCAGATGCGATGACAGGTTCGGCAGGAAGGTCCTGTAGAAGTTTATGAGGCCGAGGTAGCTCTGCAGCTCTTTCTTGTTCTGGGGCTTGGGCGCCTTGAGCACCGCTTCAACCTTGTGAGGTGCCGGGGCCAGGCCTGCCAGAGAAATGACATGGCCTAGGTACTCAACGCTGGGGGCCAAGAAGATGCACTTCTCCACCTTGAGCTTCAGCCCGGCATCCTGCAATCATGCCAGGACGCTGTGTAGGTTCTGCAGGTGGTCCTCGTCGTCTCTACCGGTCACCAGGATGTCGTCCAAGTACACTGCCACGTGCCTCATGCCCCTGAACAGGTTGTCCATCTCCCTCTAGAAAATGGCAGGAGCTGAGGCCACGCCGACCGGTAGGCGCGTGTACTGGAAGAGTCCCAGCGTTGTCGATATGGTCACATACTTTCGGGACGACTCCTGGAGCACCAGTTGCTGGTACGCATCTCTGAGGTTGAGCTTGGTGAACTTCTTTCCCCCGGACAGTGCCGACCAGAGATCTTCAATGCGTGGCAGCAGGTACTTCTCCACGGCAGCGACGGGTTTTTTGGTAATCTTGAAGTCCCCGCAGATCCTTACACTGCCGTCTTGCTTCAGGACGGGCACGATGGGAGCGGCCCACTCTGAAGACTTGACGGGCACCAGGAAGTCGTCTCGCTGCAACTGTTGCAGCTCCTGCGTGACCCCGTCCTTCAGGGCGAGCGGCAGGGGGCACGGCTTGAAAAACCGGGGCTTGGCTTTGTCTGGCACATGAATGCTTGCCGCCGTGCCGGTGAATGTGCCCACCCCGGGCTGGAACAGGGCCTTAAACTTGGTCAGGAGGCTCGGGATGTCTTCTACCGCGCATACAGCTTTTGGTACTCCGGCAGCCGCACACCCAATGCCTGGATTCCAGTTCCGGCCCAGCAGCAGTCAGTGACGGCACCTTGGTCAGGTGCAGGGGCAGGGTGGCCTCCCTATCGCCAAGGCGGACGCTGACCTGGGCTTGACCATCGACCTGGGTGAGCTGTCCGGAGTAGCTGCGCAGCATGACGCCCGACGCCTCGACTGGAACGTCCGGGAAGGTGCGCTTGAAGGCCTTCCCGGCCATCACTGACACACTGGCCCCTGTGTCCAGCTCCATGGAGATGGGACGCCAGCAGACTTCGCCGGTCAGCATATACGGTGGCACAGACGACTGACGCATGTCCGTGTGCCGCACGTCGAAAATCTGCGGGTCTTCGGCCACGACGTGAAGCCTAGCCGTGGCACCCGAAGCTGCTGCTGCACGCCCCCGCTGCCTCCCCTTGCGTCAACTCACTTGGCCGTGGACTGGCGCGGAACAGGTACTCGACGACGGCTGCTTCCGTCCGTCCGCCGTCCCCCCTCGGCACGCCCGAGCAATGTGCCCAGTCCTTCCACACGCGAAACACTCCGCTTCCGCGAACTGGCACTTTGAGGGGGGGTGGTCGCCACCGCATCGACTGCACTTGTCACACCGAGTCGCCATCTTGTTCACCGCCGATTCCGTCGACGGTGAGCCGGCCGCAGCTTCCATTGCCAGCGCTGCCTTTACCGCGTCGTCCAGCGAGGAGTCGGGAAGCTCCAGGAGTCGCGTCTGCATGGCGGGGTCGTTGATGCCGCAGGCGAAACAGTCCCGGAGCAGCGAGTCGAGCTGCTCCCCGAAGGCGCATCCGCTCGCTAACCCTCGCAGTGCTGCGACGAACTGCCCGAGTGTCTCTCTGCCTCGGTGGCTCCGGTTGTTGAAGCGGAAGCGCTCCATTAATGTCGACGGGGCCGGGCTGAAGTGCGAGCGTAGTGTCGCGAAGAGCTCACCTAGCGACTTGTCATGTGGCGTGGCCGGATTGAGCAGGTCGAGCAGAAGCCCTAAGACGCGGGTCCCGCAGCTGGCTAGGAAGATGTCGCGCTGTTTTTCCACGGGGATGTCGTTCGCCCGAAAAAACACGCCGACCTGTTCCTCGTAGATTGGCCAGGCGGACCCATCACCCTGGAACGGCTCGAGCCTCCCATAGAGTGGTATGGCGTAATGGTGGCCGACGTTGGGGGCGGTGTCGGCGTTCTCGGTGGCTTTGGTCGCTCCGCGGGCTTCTTTCTTCGTCACCAGTGTCACGATTTGGTGCGCCTTCGTGAACCTGGGAGGGCCAGGGTACCCTCCAGCAGAGTGACAACCTGCTACGGCTGGTGGACGGTGACTGACCCTCGAGCGGCTGTGCCCGGCGGTGTTTATTTAGTCCGCCGTGCCAAATGTTGCCCACCGAGCCTGGTGGGGCCACTTAACCTAGCGGCCAACAAATATCAGGAAAGGGGCGCCACATGATTGTCACAAAGAATACGGAAAAAAAAAAGCGCGAGACTTCTCCGAGCAATGCCGGCAGCCATGACGACAATGGTGGTACTATAGAGGCTAGAAAAGTTTTCCTAGTGTCGGGAAGGGGCGTGCCGAAGCGAAATAGTCTGCAATGATCCACAGTAGATGGCGCCACGGCTCGCTGGCGCGCGGCTCTCGTGGGCGTCTGCGCGCTTTTGTGCGGCTGTTCGCGTGCGAGCATATTTTTTTGGCCGCTCACTATAAGTCCTCCGCAGGCACACGAAAAATAATCAGACATGCAATTACATACACTCACGATCGCGATCTTGTGAGCTTGACAAGCGCACATTACGCGACCACGGCTTGGGTGCGCAAACCTCGTCGGAAGGGGTAGTTTGATTGCGGGGATTAACGTGCCGAAACTGCGCCTTCGTGGAGCGCTCCCGATTAATTTTGACCACCCGGGGATCTTTAACGTGCGCCGAAATCTCGAACACACGGGAGTTCTTCCTTTCAACTCCCTCAGAAAAGCAGCCTCCGCGGCCAGAAATTAAACCCGCGTCCTTGAGCTCAGCAGCACAACGCTTTAGCCATTCACTAAGCCACTGCAGCAAGTGGAAGGGGCAGTTTTTCCTTTATCGGCCCTGTACGCGTGGTTACAGCCACCCTTAGTAGTAATTAAAATATTACTACTATCAAGAACATAGCGGAAGCAACGAGTTATGAAATACAGCTGAAGTTTACAATACAAAAACTACCACACAACAACCCCAAACATAACAGAATTCAAGATTGTCAATGAGCATTTATTGCAGCGTTACAAAATGAAACTTCAAAAATCACACATTTGAAAACTAACACACATTCCCATCTTTGGGAGCAAAGCAAGAAATAGATACATAATTTAACAAACAGTCACATTTTCGTGCGAAAAACAAAAAATACACATGAGCACAGAACATTTTACACTCCAAAAAAGTATGCACGACGGTGCGTGTACAAGGCTAGGTCACTTTGCTGAACTGCAGACGTTTTTATTGACATCGCCTCATTTTCAGAAGTTTTTGTTTTTGCCTCTGAGTGCTCCTCTCCAGGTTCCTTGCTTTTGCAAAAAAGTGTAATCGGGTCAGGGCATAGAACTTAATTATGTTCCTCGTAACATCCCTTCCGTGTTCGCTGCACCCAACTTCTTTCAGCTGAGCTCCATGCAAAAACTGCAAAAAGTCCATCATGCTTCCAGCATGAAGCTCATTTCTGCTGAAGAACACAGTAAAGGTGTTTTCAAGATTCTTAATGAGCTCCTCGACCGGCTTGGAAGGGTATAAATTAACCCAGCATGATCAAATTCTCGCGTAAAAGAAGCATTATCATTGCACTCTGCTTGCACAGGCAAAATACAAAGAGAAGAAGCGCATGCAGAAATGAAGACCTTTTGAGGGATTTTCTCACAACATAGCCTGCTATGTAAAATACAAGGCGGCTGTCACTGTGCTTTTCAATGCAGCTTTTGTGATCAAGCAGCCCTTGTGTTCGCAACACATATTCTGCACGCTCCAAGTTGTCATCATCCAAAATCTCGTCCATTACTGCTGATATGTGGGCTGACTTTTCTCTACCAAGGTCAGATGGCCCCAAAAGTGCTGTGACAACTTCTTCGGGAGAGTTCCCATTCTTAGGGGACCGGGCTAGGCTGTAGAATGACAGACTGTTGATTATTATCAAGAACTGCTCCGGTGATGGGTGGTCATTGCATCCAAAAGACTGCCTTACAATGCCGAACACATTTTCCATTTTGTCTTGGCTTAAATTTGCCGTTAAGAGATATTTAAGACCAAGAGAGCTACTCAAGTAGCAAAGAAGTGACAGCGTGCTTTTCAAAGTCACACGCAGCCCACAGGCAGTTCCTAGACTCAAAAACCCGCCATCATGCTCAGCAGCGTGTTGTTCCCACTCAGCCAGGAATTCAATGAAATTGTCGAGAAACTGCGCACTCGGCGAATTCGGTCGGAGGCCTTTCGATGGTGTTCTAGATGTCATGACAAAAATCAGCTTCTCTATGAGCTTTACAAGCTCTTCTGTAGGTTGGACTGCTCGGAATGTTTTGTTCAAGTGTTCTTTATAGAAAAAAAGCCCCTTAAGGACTTCTTCACTGAACAACTGAAAAGCTAAGTTCACCGGCATTTTCTCAAAAGAATTTGGCTGAGTGTGAGACTTGGTAATGCGTGGCATAGCTTTCAGTGTTAGAGAATTCTGGTCCTCTTTCCAGGCTTCCTTAATTACATCAGCATGGGCATGACCAGTTGGAATTTGAAGACCTTTTGACACGAAAGCATTTCGCACACATTTGACTAAATGAGGAAAGTCGGAGATGAAATGCAGGCTTCTTGTTGCGTCCACTGGATGGGGAATTTAGTACTTTATTTCTTTGATGGATGCTGCAGAGGTAAGAAAATTTTGTTAGTTAGGGCAACTGAGCAGGCTCAACGGGATTAAATACAAGTGTCGTGATAAAAATTGGCCTACCTTTGATCCCAAACAGTTTCCATAAACTGCGATTCCAAGGAGCCCCATCACTGGTCCAGTAGTCGACGAAAAAGCCAGACTTCTCAGCCAGAATTGTGGCCTCCAGAAGAATTTTCGAAAGAATATTCGCCTTCACGATTCCCTTGGAAGAGAAAACCCCTAGGATCTGGGTCCAGTTCCCTGGAAAAGGAAATAAAAGGGCTTTGTTAAGTGCAACAACTTTGCAAAGAGAAGTGCTTGTGCAGCACAATTTAGTTCCAAAGTATAAAGTATCAAAACGTGAAAAAGATTATACTATCATCACATTCTCTACAGAGAACTCACCCTGGAAAGGCTGAAACATGATGGCAAGGCCGTGGTCACTCACTGTAGTCTCGTTGCTTTCAGTAAATCGGGCCGAGGTCCACAAAGCCGCTCAGTTCTCCAGAGACCTTGACACTGATGTTCTCTGAGAGTTTTATTTCGTCGAACACAAGACCACCATGGCAGCTGTGTGCACCCATGCCTTCAGTCTTCTTCAGTCCTTCGAAAACGCTGGCATTAAAGCCAAACGAACTCTTAAAACCGGCCATGTGTCGGTCTAAACAGGACTTGCTGGGTAGAGCCAGTATCTCATGCCTCCGCACGTGCTCATAAAGCTTGGGGCTCTTTATGTGCATGAGTATACACTCCAAAACCCAGAGTTGGTCGTACACTATGCCCCTGGTCGACTTTCTGGAGGCAGCATCAAAGCATGTTTTCACAGCAAGGCGTTGTTTGGAAGGCAGACCTTCGATCCTCTCATCCAAGGTTGAACTAGCGATATTCTGGTTCATTATCCTAAGATCTTCCAGGCTTCTGCGTGCCTTTGTCAGCTTTCTTTTCGTTCGAAACAACTCGAGCGACTTTCTGGCCAACCGCTGTTTGAAGCTTGTGCTGCGTTTCTTCTTCAGCCTGTACATGCGATTCTGCACCAGCTTCCGAGAGTATTTACAGCGCAAACAGGGTTTCCCGTCGGGGATGGTCACCAGGCAGTTCTTTGCGAAGTGGGCTGCACCAAACTTCACGCACTGGCCACTTGCTACTGGCTCAATGCCACATCCTGGGCAAAGTTTCAGTCCATCGGCCTTCTTCAGCGCCTCCGCAGCGTCACACTCATTATTTACGGGCAGTTCATCTGTCTTAATGCCGCGGCAGAACACGGTGCGAAGAAATGAGTTTTCCTGCGCCGCAATGGCTTCTGTGCACGCTGAAATCGTAACGCGTTTCATAACACGCAAGTCGCCGGGTTCTGAGCTTGTGTGCCAGGCGAAACAGAGGGCTGTAGGCTCACTTGGCAAGACAACCTTGCTGCACAATGTGGACGGCAAAATGATGTCCCCAAGCAGCTTGGGTGGCTGTGGCGTTTCCTCCGGGCAGACATCTATCTCAACGACTAGATCAACGTCGGTGTTGGAAGCACTTCGTTTCGCCGGTGTGGCTTCGGTGTTACCGAAGTCTCTAGCTTTCCTTTTCTTCGGCACCTGCTTCGTGAAATATGAAGGAGCATCAGGAAATATAGTAGGGACGACGTCCTCTGTAAGCACTGGACGTTCACGGTCAAGTTGCACAGTTTCTCCATTGATTACGTGCGTAAACTTTTTCCGGATAAATCATTCATCGAAGTGGCGCGAACAGACAACACAGGTGTTATCCAAAACTTTGTCCTCCCACTTGATATTTCTTGCCCATTCCTTCAAGCGAGCAGGGTCGGTTGGAGCATGGAACAACGATACCTTTTGTGTTGACGACTTGTATCCACCTTTACAAAGCGGCACAAAACACGTTCTTGCCTTTTTAAATGGCATTATGGTGCACACAACGGTTCAAAACGCTGCCTCACATCGTGTCATGAGCACACAGGGAAGAAACAAGGAGCACGCCATTAATGCACATGCTAACCACACCGAAGAAAGGTATACGTTTACGCGCCCTCGACTGCTGCGTGAGCCACTGCTGACAGCGCGCCACCGACACCCAGCGCCACCACCCGGCTGCCGTTCCACTCATCCAAACTGCTTTCAGCGGCGCCGGGGTAAGAGACGCCCGCTCCGGACACTAGGAAAACCTTCTAGCCTCTATAGTGGTACCCCAGCCTTGCAGCCTTTTCGACAAGAGGAAGCGAGATGGAGGCAAGTGGTCCTAATGCTGACGAGTTGCCAACAAGCGAGAACACAAACCTCAGCGAACCCGTGCAAGAAAGTAGCAGTTTAGTGAGTGGCAATCACGATGTAGGTTTGCTCGCCATGACAGGGCTTGCAGTGGTGTCGAATTTAACATGCATCCAGGATGCAAACAAGCAAGATGTGCTTATTGTGGTTGGGGCTAGAAAGAGTGTCAGAAAGAAGTTGATCCTGTCCTACAAGCGCTCTGTGAAGACTCGAACAGCCCCAAGTGCGTCTTCATTTCATTTTTTTGTTCAGCGCAAGTGATGGCGCGAAAAAGAACGTGCTCTGAAAGCTAAAAATGAAAGGCTGCGAAGAACTGTGGACGCCTACAAGAACGAGCTCAAAAAACCTAAAGAAGAGTGCTCTGTAAGCGCATTTTTGGAAGTTGTGGCTGACGCCGAATAGGAAAGCACAAAAGCTGTGTTACTGTTAGATGAAATGAAGAATTATAAAAAGAAGAGACCAACGTGGTCAGAAACAAGGATTAGACACTGCATTGTCATTCGACATTTATCTACCAAAGCATATAAATACATTAGGCCTGAGAAATTGCTAACTTTGCCATATCGCACTACTCTTCAAAAATATATTGGCAGCAGCTCCGGAGAAGTCGGTTTCAGTGAGTTCGTTCGCCTGCGCCTCAAAACAGAACTGAAGCATTTAGACACGCCCCAGTCAAAAATTTGCGGCCTCATTGTCAATGAGATGAGGATATAGCAAAAACTGCTGTACCACAAGCAGTGGCATGCTTTTGTTGGTGACGTGGACATGGGTCCTGGATTGGAACAACTAACTCCCAAATTAGGAGAGTATCCGGCCAACTCGCTTTTGTGCTTCCTTCTTTGTGGCCTATGCTCCAGGTTCAAGATACCGGTTGGGTGTTCTTTTACAAAGGGCTGCACTGGTCATAAGACACGTGCTAAAAAAGGCAGCAGACGCCGGTTTCGACGTTGTCCGCCTTGTGACAGACTATCACAAGATTAACGTAGCAGCCCTGGACATCATGTGCAATGACGAAGCAGCTATAAGAGCTCCACATCCCGCCGATTCTTCTAAAGAAATACACCTCTCCTTTTACCAGAGCCTTATCATAAAAAATGTCGGATCTCAGTTCTTGGCAAAGGACTTCTGTAGAAATAAGCAGGTGTCAACGAAGTTTGTTAAAGAATTGTATAGGATGCAGAAGCATTCTTCAATAAGAATGGTGAGATTTTTAACCCGCAAGCATGTCTACCCTTTAAATATCGAGAAAATGAGCGTTAGGCCCGCTGTGCAGTTGTTCTCGGCAGCAGTGACAACAACTGTCAGCTACCTTAAAGACCAGGCCGGACACACCTGTGACTTGGAGTTCACGTCAGTGGGGCCTACCATTGAGTTTATGAAAACGATGCAAAAATGGTTCACCATCATGGACGTGAGTAACTTCCAAAAGTATATTCACTGCAGCAACAACGAAGACGCTCGGCCGTTCACAGATGTCGAAGACCCGAGGCTTGAATGGTTGAAAACTGTCTTCCTTGATTACATCGAAGACTTAAAGAATGCAAGCTTGGCAGGAAACTTTTTTCAGTAAAGATACGTATCATGCCATTGTCGTCGCAACTAAATCAAACGTGCACTGCATATGCCATTTGCTCTCCGTGAAGCATTTTAGGTTGGTGCTCACGCGCAAGTTGTCAAGTGATCCAATCGAGTCACTTTTTGGGTTTTTACGGCGAAGTTCCGGCAGCAACGACATGTTGGACGTGAAGAGCGCTGTGTGCGGTCTAGAGAAAATATTGAAAACTGGCATCCTTGCTGCTTCCGAAGAAAGAAAGCAACGTTCAAAGCTCGACGTCCTTTGCATCGAGACAACTTCTCTTTTCCAAATAAGCCCTAATACCATCCCCGGTGCAGCTGAAAAGATCTCGGACATGGCAGTTGCCGCATTAAAGGAGCACTGCCTTTCGGAAGGACAATGCCGTTCAAATCCCGATGTTGCAAGCGTGGCAATGGTGGGAGGGTTTACTGTCCGAGCTGCAAGCGAGAGTATCTCTTGTCAGAATTGTGTCGCACTGCTGCAAGGGCCCAAAGCCAGAACTCCCCTTCTTGGGCTTATCGCACATCAGGACCATGGGGGACTGCTATATGTAAGCCAAGAACTCTTGAAGCTTTTAGTAGGGCTTAGGAAGTTTGTAGACTGTGTTTTGCAGCACAGAAGAGGGATCACAAAGCCCTTTAATGTTTGTGTGAAGTGCACTGTTGGAACTACTTGTGCTACTTCCAGTTCTGAGTTGTGGGAACGCAGACGTCGACCACAGGAAGCAGCTCTTCAAACTCATTTCAAAGAAGTTCATAAAGCCAATGCCCAGTAATTATGCACTCGGTGTGACTGACAGAAATGCTGCTGTGAGAATCTTGAAGAACAGGCCTCTTTCTCGAAAAGTGCTGAAGTTGTAGCACAGCTTGACTCATTACCTGTGCGTGTTAATTTATGTTGCTGTTTGTCTTCATGAGCCAAATTTCTAAACATTCTTATAAAAGTCATTGCTTTCGGTTTTGAAGCTGTTTATTGAATCTACCCAAATTTCGCCCGGTGTAACAACTGAAAAAAAAAAAGCACAAAGACGTTCACTCCAATGTTAATCTCAAAGCAACATGTGCAGGCATTTCGAAAGGAAAGCTTTCGTTAGTGACGCTGAAAATACCGACATGTACGCCCTGTTCTGCTCGAATATTTCAGTGCGTTTTTGGAAGTTGCGTTGACTGTCGCTATATGTACTATTTCGTCACTACTGAGTGTTTGCTGCTCACAGTGGGCCTTTGCTTCTCCAGAGACATTTAAGCCACCTTAAAAAATGCGGCCATACAATCGTGCAGAGCACAGCGCGCACTTGGACGTCAGCAGCAGCCGACGCGGTGTTGTACCACCCATCGCCGTGATGATAGTGTTGGTTGCGAGCGCCACCGCGCGGCGTTTGTCAAAACTGAAGGCAGGCCAACTCCGCTGGGAGCGCGAGCCATTCCTTAGGCATCTCTCCAGAGGAGGCGTTGCTAGAGAGGACTCTGCCACTGTGATCGTTCTGCGAACGTGGGAATGATGGGTAGTACACATTCATTTGCCTAGTCTTTGTACTTGCGGGTGGCAAATCGTACTTGCGGCTTCGTTTATTTCTGTGTTTCGATTTTGTTCTGAAAGAAAGATTCGACGCTTTTGAACTTCGTGACCAGATTCGGAAAGGTAAATCTAAAAAAAAAATAAGGTGGTGAAGCACAACCGCTGAACATTTGTTGATTTTTGTTTTGTGAGAAAACAGCTCCAAGCCACACAAACACACACGGAGCCAAAAGCAGGCCAGAAGTACGAAGATTAGACAGATGTGTGCACTCCCATCATTCCCATGCTCGCTGAAGCGCCGTGCTTTGCAGCTCCCATAAACACTAGCGCCAGAGTTCCCTTCAATGTACATTAAAAAACTCTATGGTTTGGATGGTTCCGGGCCGCTTGTAGGCCGCCGGGCCCGCAAAAATTGAACATGCGTCCGAGCGATCCCGGACAAGTAGGCAGAGCTTCCAGTTGGTCTCCGAGAAAAACGAATGCGGCGCCGGCGTCCGTGGCCGTGCGGAGCCAACCGGGACGTGTAAATCGATGCTCACCAATAGCAACAATAGCAGCACTAGCGCTGTGGTGGCCACCACGAAAAAAAAAATATAAATATATATATATGTACATACATACATACATACATACATACATACATACATACATGTAACTGAAAGGTCGGTGTACAATGGCCACTGCAAATATTCCATATGTTTAGAACACAAGAAACTTTGATTAACGCATACTCGCTGGAAACGCAGCGTAACTAAATAATAAAATCCCAAGTTGAGGAGGCCCCTTGGAGACTCCTCTAGCCACTGCAATCCCGAGTAGTATTACAATATAATTGTTCATCTGCTCACGTGCACAGATTCTTTGAAAAAGAAAATAAATGCGATGTCGTGGTAAAATAGGCCTTTTCCTAGTCCGAACAGCACCTCAAGTGGAATCAAAACTGGTGGCCTTTGTACTCTGAAATTGTCCGCCGCATGCGGGTAGGCAATCTTTGAGTCTAGCGTTTGCGCCTCTCTTTGGGAGAATGATTTGCATGTTTGTGGCACCAGGTATCGCTTGGTATGCACGTGTTATCAGGTTTTCGTCACCAAAAACCATGGTGCGTGCCTCTTCGAGGTTGGCGCTCATTTACCTACTCAGAAAAGGCCCATTACCACGAGAACGCTTTTTGTCGCTTCATGTTCATGTTTTCTAACCGAACCGCATCCTTCGATGACAATGTTTCGGGTCTAGCACACGCATGGTTATGCGTTATCAAGCGATGTCTTACGCGGCAGCGGTTAGCTGTCGTTTCTGCTTACTAGGTCCCCCTTAGTGGACGACTGGTAGTGAGGCTCGTTACGGCTGCCTAATATTGATAACATGCGGTTACACGATCGTCAACAGCGCTGTGCCTAACATGTCGGAGATGCACCGACGCGCTCATCGCTGACAGACATCGTGCCTCATGCACTTTTGATGTTTATCTCTGCTTTCGACAATGTTTTTAGCTATTTGTACACAGCGAAAATAGGGAAAACGAGTTTTTTCCCGCACAATAGTCGCATTGAATATTCGAATTTTTCGAATATTCTAAGTTATTCGAAATTTTCAAATACAGAATTTCGGAATCGTATACGAATATTTTAAATTTAATATTCGCGCACCCCTAGTTGACAGGAAAGAGGCACACTCACAACTGAGCGTTATTTTTGCGTTCATTGCATGGAAACAGACCCACTGTCTCTATGTATTCCCAGTTTGCTTTTAATAAACGAATCTAAAAGATATATGTAGCATTCATCAATTGATCAGAACACTTTAGAGCTGCTCACCGAGAGGGAGTACAACATCGATAAAAGCCTTCAACCGGACACATACGACAAGATAAAAGTACTAATAAGATCTAACAGATGTTGGTGAGTAACCACAAGAAAGTTTCATGGTGTTAGTGCGGCTCTAACAGTGATAGACACCAACTTTAAGTGGATGATGTAGGGCCCTCCAAAGACCGACATCCAGTGTACATCAAGTGCAGTGTTTGTTTGAGTGGCAAGCATTTGTCACAGGACTTCGACGAATCATCAGGGTGTTGTCTTGACGATTCAGGGTGATGTCTTGGCGATATCAGGATTGATGAGACACATTCATGAACATTAGAGAGTAACCATCGCCTGTCTATATTTGAGCAAGGCATCTTCAAGTGAAATAAACCTTATCAAGTTGCACGGTTGTTGCTGGTGGCAAAATCCTAGAAAAGGCCGAGACGGTTTCTTGCACACAAAACCATTCTTGTTCTGCACACGAATCTGATGTCCTCCATATTCACTGCTAAGTAATTTATCTCTCTGTTATCAAATTTTCCATACTCCCTTACATCTGGCTACTGCTCCTAATGATTGACTGCAGCTCTCACAGGCTTGTCTTGTGCCAGTTGGATAGCATATGCCAACAATGGCGGGGTCCGACTCCATCCACCCGGCTGAGACAAGCACCTAACCTTTGTCACTTTCCCGTCTTTCCATTTTTCCTCCATGGTTATTTTTCTACTTTGTATCAATAATGTATATCGATGCTCATTTAAAAAAATTAACATTTTACAGTTTTCGTTTACTTTTTGTGTTCTTTCTTTTCTATGTAGTTGTATCATCAGGAAATGACTGGACTAAAAACACATCTCGGACCATACACACATGAAAACTGGTTCATGCAAACTTCGTTGAATAGGTTGAATGCGCTAGTTGAAATATGCTTTGTACATTAGCATTGTTCTTCATCACGATGATAACACTGCATTAACTTGCAGCGGCTTCTTCCAGAATCTGGCTCTATGCTTGAGCAAGAGGAGAAGCACCTTTTCCCCCTCAGGTGTTCTAATCCCTAAGCTTCTTGGGGGTTTTTGCAAGTGATGGCTTTCATTTTTTTGATGCTGTATTCGAGTGGTCGCTCTGATACTCCGACTCGGAGTACGCCGATGCGCCGCTTCCCCCACTCCGAGCAAGAGTCACCGCTCCTTAACCGAACGCGTACCCGATTTTGGAGTAGCACGCGACCGTGGCGCCGCGGCGCGGCCAAAACGGCAACTGCAAACAGCCAGGCCGGCCCAGGTGTCTCAACAAATGGCGACCTCCGGATCGGACGCGTTAGCTCCCAGCCGAAGTTCCCCGACATCAGCCGAGCGCCTGTTATTCGCTATGATTGAAGGTAAGTTGTAGCATGAGCTCTGAATAGTAATCCCAGCTTTTTTTTTTGTCTGATTGGGTAACCGTAGGGCCGGGCTGATCTCAAAAAATGTAAAAGAAAACGCTCTGAATACCGCGTAGCTGAAGCGAGCGCACGCATCCCGCCAAGTTATCTGAAATCGTGTTAATAAAACATACGGCCTCTGTAAAATGAACTGTTAGCAGTTATAGCGCGCAGGTTTTGTCAGTTCACACTGTTATACTGGAGCAAGCGCAGTGGGCGAAATGACATGGGAAGAAAGCGGGATGTACCGATCATTTGCTGGTACGACACGAGTGCCGAGACTGGTGCGCTTTACGCGTTCGTCGTTGTTTCCGGGGGCTGCTGTATTGCGCTCTTAAGCGAATGGAGTCGGTGACGGCGAATGTCAAGGAGGCCAACGTTTCACAGGATCAGTGCTTTAATCATCATGTGCTCACGTCTAACAAAGCAGTCAACAGCTTGTAAACTATTTGAGCCGTCGCGTTCATTGTGTTTGGCGTCTTCGCTGCTCTAATATGCGCAATGTAAAGTGCTCAGGACGGCTACATTTCTTACACGATGGCTGTGTCGTTTGAACTTCCTGTACCTGTTGCATTCTCTCCTACAGGCACTCCACCGAGCTCGAATGCTCCGGACGGCGACTTAACTGCGGATGGCAACGCAACATGCTCTGGTAAGCCGCCTGTTTATTTAATTGATCTTTACAACAAATATGGACTCTCTCTAAAGAGCTATGTGTCATTTTGCAACTCAACAATTGCAACGCACATTTCATGGTTGCTATACTCAGATAGGTAGTAATTAGTCACATTTGTATCCACAGCGCCAAAGGCTACAGGCCAGAATTAAAAGTACACAGAAGAATTAGAACTATCCTGGCTCAGTAGGGGCTAGTATATACAATTACTGTTAGTAAAATCTGTCAGCTGCATGCGATTAATCGCCATGTGGGGTGGCATGGAACATATCACATTTTTTTTGTTTGGATTGATTGCTTATCTAATTCGCTTCTATTTTTTATTGTTTCATTCTCAGTCATCACGAATCAGGACATCTGGTCTCATTACAGTAGTTAAAAAAGCTGCTCTGGTCTGCTGTCCATCTCATAAGAGGCAAAATATTTTGAAAATACATCAATTGTTCTGTGTCTTACTCTAATCCTGGCTTTCTCTCCTGTGAACAGCACCCTGGGACGAAGGCGAGACACGGCTACTGCTAACGCTGTACGCCCAGTACAACAATGAAGTTGGCCCTTTTAAAAAATTTCGAACGAAGCGGGCAATGTACCAGGAAGTTGCCAAAGAAATCTTGAAGATTCTGGGCATAAGCCGCTCAGCCGAGCAATGCGACTCGCGCTTGAAGACCATAATAAGAAGGAAAAAAAATGAGGTAACAAATAACAGGACATCAGGTCGAAGTCGCTGCAGGGTGTCCTACGAAGAATTTGCTAGGATTAGGGCTCTGGACGACAGTATCGAGCCAGAAGTCCTCCGGGGTGTCGGTACAGTTTCGTACAAGGCCGCAGCTGTCGATTCACCGAGCACAAGTGCTCAGACAACGGACAGCTCGGGGAGTGCTGACCCGAGCCCTCTTTCGTCATTTCCAGAGACTGAAGGGGACTCCAGTGGGAGCAGCAGTTTGCTGGAAACAGAAGGCACCCAAGCAAAAAGACCAAAAAAAGATCGCGCAACTCGAGCAGGCACGTGCCGAATGCAGGACATGGCGTTCTTTTTCCAAGAGATGAGGAATATAAACAAAGAGCGCGAGCAGAAGAAGGAAGAGCGCGAAAAAAGGCGAGAGGAGAGGCATCAAGAGCTCCTTAAAGCCCATCAGGAACACATAGCGGCACTGAGAGACCTTGCAAAGAACAGTGAGGGCAACTAGATCAACAAAATTTAAAAAAAATTTGTAGTTATACGCACTTTCCATTATGTATCTTTCGTGTATGTGCTTGAATTCTTACTACATATACATTTTTAGTTGATTTGTTGTGCCTTCGTGATTTGCACTTCTGACACTTGTTCCATTTGTTTTTTTTCCTTGTCTTTATTCACATCTAGCGCTACAAAAATTTTTGTAAACATTTTTGTAACTATATGCACTTTCCATTATCTATTTTTGTCTTGTATGTGCTTGAGTTCTTACTACATATACATTTTTTAGTTGATTCATGTTGCCTTCGTTATTTGCACTTCTGACACTTGTTTTTTTACCTTGTCTTTATTCCTTTGTGTGTTATAAAATGTTGTCCCACCCTCTCTGTAATGCCCTTCGGACCCTGAGGGTATTCTAATAAATAAATAAACTCTTTCGCTTTATTAAAGGAGCAATACACTTTGCGAAGATGTTGCGCATGTTTTCACAGGGTGGTGTTTTCACCTGCTCACGTCAGTGACGAAGCTGCTGTGCCAAGTCACTTCTTTTCAGTTCCCCTAGGCGTCGGAGTGAGCTTTCACGCTCTGTCAGTGGCTGTCTGTTTGCTTCCAGCTCAGCACGGTTTTCCCTTATGTGCAGAGCCAGGTCCTGCCTTCTTCCTTCTCTCTCTTCATCAGTGAGCAGGTCCTCCACATCTGTGTCTCCAGTGCTCAGGCATATATTGTGAAGAACACAGCAGCCTACTATGAACAGTGTAATCTTGTCGACTGTTGTGAGTTCCACGTACCGCAGCTGCCGAAATCTCTGTTTAAGCAGGCCAAATGAATTTTCAATCACGACCCTTGTTGAGGTATGGCGGTCGTTGTATGCGGTTTCGTCTGCAGTCATGTTGCCGTAGTTTTTGTACGGTGTAAGCAAGTGTTCCCGGATGGGGTATGCAGTGTCCCCGAGGATGTGGTACCTGTTGATTTCGCAAAGCGTAGGCAAATCCTCTTGCACAGGCGACAGCTTCAGGACTCTTGCGTCATGAACTTTGCTTGGGGGGCCCGTGAAAACGTCCTGAAATCTCCTGTTTGAGTCGCAAATTCCCTGCATTGTGATAGACACCTGGTCGTGCCTATTTATGTAAGTCGACCTGACTTTGTTGACTGGGCAGCGCACAGGGATGTAGGTGCCATCAATGCACCCAATGACGTTTGGAAATCCTGCAAACTGCAAAGAGAGAATGTATGCAAGTGTAGGCTTATACGTGGCATTCACATGGCCATTACTGTTTGGTAAAATACATTGTCAGCGAGTGCACTGGTACACATAGGTGAAAGTGTGCTACAATAGTCAGGTATTCATTGTGTTAATGACTGGTCAATTACCTTTTCATTGCAACCAGTGCTGATTTTGTATTACTCAAGTATTTTTTGCAACATACTTTTAAATTCCAAATCCCAAAAAAAAAGGAAAAACCACTGCTCACTTTCTTGAAATCCCTGGCCAGAGCCTCCTTGTCAGGTGCGAAGTAAATCACTTCTGGGGCAATGGCAAAAAGAAACCCAAGCACCCTGTCAATGACAGTGAGCTGTGTGGAGTCTGCCATGTTGAACAGCAAGGCAACCTCCCTGATTGAGGCCTTGTTGACAGCGTATCTAAAAAAACAATTGCCACACTGCTAAACTAGAAAAAACTTCCTTTGCCACCATTAAAGCAAAGGTTTAGTTCATCATATGCACACATGGCAAGACAATGCGTGCAGACTGCAAAATCATGGATTGACCTAGCTGCCATTACATGGTAACAATAGGGCTTTAGATTTTTTTTTTTTGTTTGACGTTCGACGTTTGATGACCGTTAACGAGACTACAAAACACTGACGGGGTTACTCTCACCCGCACAGGAAATTCCCGAAGGCTGAAACACCACACTGTGCCACAAGCTTCGTAATATGGAAGATGTAGCTGGCTTACCAGAGAAACGAAAGAATGTGCTCTTTCGGCGTCTTCGCGGGAGCGCCTCCGTGGTGCCGGTTGAAGGGAAAGAAATCGGACTTCTCGAACTGCCTGATAAGGTTGTAGCAGGCTCTCCGAGGCAGGCGGAAATTCCTGCGAAACTGCAACGAGCATTAGACCTCGAGACATTAATTTGATTTTCAGCTTACCTGCTCTTCAGAATAGGTGTGCACAACCTTGCGAACGTATTCCTGCACTTTGAATACTGGAAGTGGTTCAGCGAACAGTTCGGCGAACTTCGTTGCGTAAACGTGCGAGTCGTCGTCGTCTGAGCTGCTGTCCTCCTCGGCGTGTATTTCGAGCTGCAGAAGTAGCGGAGACGGTTCCCCTACACTCAATAGGCGTCTCCGTTTCGACATGATGCGGAGAATAGCACGAGAAGCAAAATCGTCGAAACACTCCCACAACTAACCGCCGGTTAGGCCTCAGCGAACGCCACCGACTGGGCAGGCGAGCGGGGCGAGCCGCGGCGGCCGGGGTGGTCACGTGACCCGATCGCCTCCAGATTTCGGCGGCACTCCAACTTGGGAGCCGGAGCAGTCGGAGGCGCTCGGAGTGGAGTACGACGCTCTGAGACGACCAACCGAACATACGTCTAGCGCTCGATTTCGACCACCCGAACACGGAGTCGCTTTCCGGAGTGCTCTAGAGCACTCTAAAACGACCACCCGAATACAGCATGAGGCTTTCTTTTGCTCCCGAAATAATTGTCGACAGGCTTTTTGAACTTTCAATTTTTTATTTACCCAGAGTCAACTTTTATTGCTGGGGATGTTCCCTTTGCAGAGAATACAGTATTTCTCACATCACTATGTTGTGTAACGCAAGCGATGGTGCAGTCATAGGGAATGTGTAGCATGCTATAAGTATGCCTCCTGCACTGCGGGCTGTGCCAAATTTGCTTTCCAATACAGTCCAGCATGCTTTCAGTAGCGAAAACATGACATACTGGCTTGCCTGGGTGCTGCTGCACTTCCAAAATACTATAGCTGTCCCTGAAGGACAAGTTTAATTTCGTAGCAGCATAAACAGCTTTCCTAAAGGTTCGCGTGCAAGATGTTTTCTTTAAACATGATTGAATACATGAACACAGAAAACAAGTCCTTCATTGCCTTAGCGACACAAAACTTTTTGTTGTCACAAATAGAATGATGTAAAAAGGACATACCCAGAAAAGAAACTTTTGTCAAGCAATCGGCTGTAATTTGTTTTGACAGTTTCTATGGGTCACTTATTTTTGCTTTCACACCAGCAGCAGCATGTTCTTCACAATCAGCAGCAATACAAGCTGTGGGATCAAGAGCGCACTTTAGGCCACTCGTCTTTCTTTTGCATTTTATGCCTGGCATTAGCTGCATCCTTGAACCGACTCCATGGTGGAAGTGGAAAAGGAGTCAAAGAGGTCCACTTTCTTGACTTGTGGTGGTTGGACATTAGGTGGTGCTTGAAAAACTTCCTTGTGGAGTACTTGTAGACAGAAAGTGCACTTGGGCGAACAGCTAGTGTGGCCAAATACATGTAGAAGGCTATTCTACTAAGCAGCACAAATATGAAAAAAATAATAAAAAAACATGCTAGCTTGGCATCAACAAGTGAGATCCTACTGTTACTGCATATGTGATTTGGTTTGAGCCTCTGGGTAGCATGGAACAGGCAGATTAGAGAAGAGAACATTCGGCTAGCGAGATAGGCCTCCGGTGCACGACACCTTCAAGTCTACCGCTGCGCCACAGTAGAATAAACCCCTCTCGTAAACGTAACAGAGTGGTGGAGGTGCTGGGTAAAGCATGTCGATGAACGACGGAGTCACAGCTGTTTGAACTTTGCCGGAGCCGTCGTCTTGCTGGTCTGCCACCGACAACAACCGTCATGGCCGAGAGTGAAGGTCACGGCTTCTCAACCACGTAAAGGTCAGTGCCGCTTGCACCTCGGTATCGCTATATGGAACCCCGCCTGTTCAAGGGAAGAGCAGGAGAAGATGTGGATGCGTGGCTCACACATTACAAAAGGGTGAGCCAGTACAACTGCTGGGCCCATCGAGCAATTGAGAAATGTTGCGCTGTTTCTCACGTAAATTGCCCTGATGTGGTATGAAAACCACGAAGATTCTTTAACAATGTGGGATGGTTTCGCTGAAGAACTTAAGAAATGCTTCGGCGACTCTGATTCCAAAAAGAAAAGCGGAGAGCGCATGTTGGCTTAAAGAGCTGGCTCCTGGAGAAATGTGTACCACCTACATAGAGGAGGTTCTGATGCTGTAGAAGATCATAGACCCGTATATTTCTGAAGAAGACATGGTCGGACACCTCCTGAAGGGTATAGCAGAGGACATCTACAATTTTGTGATAGGTAGGAAAGACCTCACTTCCGTCTCCGCCGTTCAACGTCACTGCCATCCTTTCGAGAAGCTGAAAAACCGTCTTATTGCCCCGAGATTTGGTAGGCTGGCTAATGTAACAACGGTCGCCAGCGTCAACGTGAGCCCGCCTGCCGACCTTGCCGCTACTATCAGGGCAACAGTGCGCGAAGAGCTACATCGGCAAGCCATATTGGTCGACGACACCATCCATCACCGCCTACCTGTTCATCCTGCTACCCGGTGCTGTTCGCTCCTCTGCCACCATCGGTATGTGTGATGGACGTTAGCGAAGCTGGAACTTCGTGGCCACGCCGAGACTCATTCGCGCCTGACCAGTGGTATGACCGACGCCTTCGTCTTGGCCCCGCTCCACAGAGGCGGGCAGTTCCCGTTCACAAGCTGCTCCACTCCGTTGGGGTGGGCGACGTTACACAGCGGAGCGCTCTCAGCAGTGGTTCGGCGAGCGACCCCTACCCGTCTGCTACAACTCTGGCGTCGAAGGCCACATTGCCAGGTAGTGCAACTACCGGTAGCCGCAGAGGTAAGATTGCCCACCTGAGGTCCCACCTGTCCGGCTTTGCACGAGCACCAACGTTCCCTGGAAGCACATCTCACGAGATACTAAGGCCGCTGCGAAACCGCTCTCCGGCCTCTGACCGCAGTCTGACACCCTCGCCAGTCCCTCGCTCCAATCGGTCGCCGTCTCCTAGGTGCCACTACCCTTCGCCGCCTCCGGAACACTAGTCGGCGCAACCATTGGAGGTGAGGTCGCTGGACAGTCTTCTATTTCCACAGAAATGCCTCCTTCAATTGAAATGTTTAAAAATAAGGTCCGTGTGCTAATCGACGATGTCTCAGCAATGGCCTTAAGGACACAGGTGCAATCATATCAGTGATGAGTCTAGCATTCAAATTCCTTTTTGGACGAAAGGTCATGTTCCGTTGGGACCGTGCTGATACGTTTCGTGGAGTGAGCGAAGATGTCTTACAACCTGTTGGTATCTGCACAGTGACTATTAGTTTTGGGGGCCAGAATTTTACTTCTGATTTTGCTGTTCTCTTTCATTCAACGCATGATATAATTCTAGGACTCGATTGCCTGAACCTTTGTGGTTCCACTGTCGATTGCCGCACAGGAGAGATTACAGTAGATTCAAATGTTCCAGTAGCGTTTATGAAAAGCCGGCCTTGTATGGAAGGCACCCTTTGCGTGTTCATGGACACAACTGTACCACCCTTGTCTGCCTAGTGTGTTCCTGTCGTCAGTTCCCCTGCAACTGAGATGGCATTTGATGTCACGGTAGAGACCATTCATCTCAGCTGCATAAAGAAAAATGTTCTAATACCCTATTGTACGTTGTCGGTTCTTCAAGGGCATACTGGTTTTAGGGTGATCAACGGCTCCAATGAACCTTCGGTATTACCAGAGGGTCTACAACTTGCTAAGATCCGTCAACATCAAGTGTTCTTCCTTGCCATCCCTACAGAGAGCAGCGATTCTCCGGATAAACCGGATTCTGATCATCTGCACGCCAGGGACACCTCCATAATGGCAAGGATTGACAAGTCTCTTAGCACCAACGAGCATAATGACCAGGCGAGTATTCTACACAAATATGCTGATCTTTTCAATTTCGCACAGCTACAGGCTCCACTGTCATTCCCTGCTTCTCGTGTAAAGCACCGCATAGATCAGGCATACCATGGACCTCTCCGACAAAAGCCATACCGGGTATCGCCTTCGGAACACGCAGTGATAAACGAACAGGTTGGCGAGATGCTAAAGAAGAATGTGATTTAGGAATCATGCAGCCCGTGGGCCGCGCCCGTAATATTGGTCGAGAAGAAAGATGGAACATGGCGATTTTGCGTTGACTACCGCCGTCTCAACGCCATCACAAAGGACGTATACCCACTACCTTGTATTGATGATGCTATAGACTGTCTTTCATCAGCCTCCTACCTTTTGTCTGTTGATTGGAGGTCAGGGTATTGACAAATTCCAATGCACGAGGAAGACAAACAGGAAACGGCATGTGTTACACCAGATGGACTTTTTGAATTCAACGTGATGCCATTCGGACTATGCAATGCGCTGGCAACTTGTGAGCGCTTCATGGACAACATTCTGTGTGGTTTGAAGTGGGAAGTATACATGTGTTATTTGGACGATGTTATTTTTGGGCGTACTTTCTGTGAGCACAACACACGCCTTGACCTCGTGCTGAACTGCCTAAGCAAAGCATGCTTGGTGCTCAACTCGAAGAAATGTCATTTTGGAGAGTGCCAAACACTCGTCCTTGGACACTTGGCGAACAAAGAAGGCATACGGCCGGATCCAGCGCAGAAGGCTGCACTGGAACCATTCAAGCAACCTCACTCAGTGAAAGAACTGTGCAGCTTTTTGGGCCTCTGCTCATACTTACGTCGATTCATTCCTGGATTTGCCAATATCGCGCTCCCACTCATGTGCCTGCTCCAGAAAGGCGTGCCATTTGACTGGACTCCGGAATGTGCGTTCGCTTTTTCTGAGTTGAAGTTCCTTTTGACATCCCATCCAATTCTTAGACACTTCGATCCTCTGGCTCCCACATCCATTGATCTGTGATGCTAACCAGAAGCAGCCATGATCAGTCTAATCATTACAACCACTTACACAATTTGGTGTCGTTCTAAGTAAGCTACAGTGAATAGTTTAATGGCTTTCCCAAGATATACAAATGCTACTGAATTGCCACCAATATTCAGTTAAGTACAGAAGGCCCATAAAAATGTGGCCTTGTTTCTGATGTTTGTTGTGTATGCCACCACATAATGCATGGCACGACATCGGAAACCACTTATTGAACTGTATCCAAGACTCTGTACCTCATGGCAAAACAATGTTGTTGCTTTTGTGAAAAAGGGAGGGGTTGATCGAAGCATACTGCAACATGAATAAACAATCATAACTATTTAACGAATCAATGAAGTGGGGCTCATCTCATTTGATTCGTAAGACTAGTCAGTTTTATATCCAAAGAACTCAGATTTTTATGTAGAAATGTCGACCTCGTGCTTTATACAGCGTTGAATGCACTTTTGGAAGTTCTTCAAAGTGGACGTGATGTCTTTTGGAGTCACTGTATATTGTCAATTATAAGTAGACTCCGAATATAAGTGGACCACTCAACTTTCAAATCCTTCTGGGAGGGGGGGAAGGAATTGACTTCGAACACAGCCTCAAGTTGTGGCCACAGCAGCTGACCAGATAAGTTTTCAAAAGAGGGAGTTATGCAAATGGGTTTTTTGCATTCTTACAGTTTGCAAAGAACCAGACCCTCTTTTATGAGTTTTAATGGTACCTGCAGTGAGCAACACAATGTAAAGGAACCTGCGTGCTGTGTTAATGCAGGTAATATTGTGTAAGGGGAGTTATTTGAGGAGATAGTGGGCAAAGGATATTAGGAGTGTGCAATGAGCTCTTAAGCTGCTAAAGTTACGCTACTAGGCACAAACGTGACCGTCATGCCTGAATCGTGTAGGACGTCTGTGCATTCAGCTTTTTTTGTGTTCCTGTTGTTTACAGCGGGCCACTGCTTTAAGGGTAAATGCTAGAGGACCACACATGGTTGAGGTCTTGTGTTCCTGTGCTGGCTTTGGAAAATAACTTGGGCGGAATGAGGAAAAATG